GTCCTCTTCCTTTCAGCAAGCAAGGTTGTATCATCTGTATATTGCAGGTTGTTTGTTAATGAGTCTTCCTCCAGTCCTGATGCCACACTCTTCTTCACATAATCCAGTTTCTCAGATTATTTGCTCAGCATACAGATTAAACAAATATGGCGAAAGGATACATATAACCCTGAAACATATTTTTCCTGATTTTAAACAATTCGGTATCCCCTTGTTCTGCTCGAATGATGGCCTCTTGGTGGGTGTATCAGTTCAGCAAGAGCACATTGAAGTGTTCTGGAATTCCAATTCTTCGCAATGTTATCCATAGCTTGTCATGATCCACACAGTCGAATGCCTTAGCAAAGTCAATAAAAGACAAGTCAACATCCGTCTTGTATTTTCTGCTTTCAACAAAGTTCCATCTGACATCAGTAATGATATCCCTCATTCCATGCCTTCTTGTGAATCTGGCTTGAATTTCTGGCAGCTTCTGTCAATGTATTGCTGCAACCATTTTTGAATGATCTTCAGCAAAATTTTACTTACATGTGATATTAATGCTATTGTTCAGTAATTTCTACATTGTGTTAGGTCACCTTTCCTTGAAATGGGCACAAATATGGATCTCCTTCAGTAGCTTGACCAGGTAACTGTCTTCCAGATTTTTTGGTATAGAAATGTATGATTGATTGATTGAGTGTTGTTAGCTGTTATGATTATTGTTATACACACTTTTGAAGCTGACCCTCTCTTTAATCCTTAGTTTTTACTTTTCAGGTTAAGTGTACTTCCTTTGATTTGATCTCATTGTAAGAAGCCTTCTTGGTGATTTATTAAACTGGTCTCCCTTCTTGCTACTATTTTTTCTATTTCATCAATTTTCTTCATAAAATAACACAATGGATGTGACTTGATCTTTGCCAGATACGGTGGAACAGCTATTTTTAGTTATAATACCTTCCATACAATAGGTGCTAAAACAAAGACTTTCTTTTATTCATCCAGCCCAAGTCAGTGTTCCTTTGTTAGTTTGGATATTATCACTGTCTTCTATTCAGCTTCATACTGGTTATAATCTTTTGCTCGTTTTGACTTGGGCTACTGCCAAGTCAAACTCCGCTCCTTTGAGCTCATGCTGGTGGTTTTTCAGAACTTACGTGTGTAGGATTTAACATTTAACCTGGCGAAATTCCCTTTTGCTAGCTTTAGCTCAGCACTCCAGCTGGCCAAGGTAATCTTGGTCTTAAATCTATCATTTGCTTCTCACTTGGTGCATCTAGATTAAATGAGTATTACCTGCATGGTTTCTATCAGTTATTTAAAATAAAAACATTAAACAGGACAGAGCTCCTAGTGGCACATATTACTATCATGGCCCAATTTGACACAAAACTGGAAAATATTAATAACCATATTGCAGGTTTATTCTTTTTCACATCTTGTAGATCACTTCCACGTGGGCAGTAAAACTGTTTTCTAAAACCATACATCACATCTAATAATGGTCTTCGGAAAAAATTTTGCTAAGTACTGGTCCCACAATCTGAGTCTTTTTGTTGATCTAACCACAGTGAATATAAAATTCAGTTGTTGTGGCCAAGTGCTCTCGAGTCGGTTCTGACTCATAATGACCCTCTATAGGGTTTCTAAGGAGTGGCTCATGAGCTTGAACTGACGACTTTGCAGTCCAGTGTATTAACCCACAGCACCAGGACTCTGCAAAATCCTGTAGTTCCAACTGTACAGAAAGTCTTCTCAGGGTAATGGTAAAGGAAAGGCCAGTCAATATATTTATCTACTTTCAGCACTTTTGAGAAGTCAAAGCAAAAAAAAAAGAGAGAGAGAGAGAGAGAGAGAGAGAGAGAGAGAGAGAGAGAGAGAGAGATAATTTTTGTCCAAGATGGATTTTCAATTTGTCCTAATGGTCGAACACATCTGAAATAGGGAAGTAAGAAATTTTTATTTGCATTTACATAAGAGCTTTTGAGTGTAAACAAGCATCTTTGTTTTTTCCAGAGCTCATGTAATTACAGTGCTTTACCATTTGAACTTGTTATAAGGCAGAAAAGAGACCCCATCTTCAAATGTATATTATTGTTGTTGTTGTTAAGTGTTGTCAAGTTGGTTCCGACTCATAACGACCCAGTACAGGGATTCTGAGGAGACTCTTTATTAAAAAGAGGAGTAAGGAAACACAGTGGCTCCATAGGATGAGCACTGGGCTTGAGAACCACAAGGTCAGTAGTTCGAGCCCACCAGTTGTTCTGCTGGAGAAAGATGAGGCTTTCTGTTTCTACAAAGATTTACAAGCCTCGTAAACAGGGCTGCTAGGAGTTGGAACCGAGCAACCATGGACTTGGTTTGGACTTATAGCGACCCTGTATAACGCTTCTTAGGCTGTGTAGTGCTGTAGCTTAGAGCACTGGATGGCAAGGTCGCTTTGAACCACAAGGTCAGCTGTTCAAACTCATCAGCTGCTCCTATGGAAATCCCATATAGGATCGCTATGAGTTGAAGCTGACTCAACAGCACTCAACAACAACAACAATAAATCTTTATGGGAGCAGAAAGCCTTATCTTTCTCCCATGAAGTGGGTAGTGAATTCTAACTGCTGACCTTGTAGTTAACAGCCCAACACGTGACCCACTTCATCACCAGGGGTCCTTTCATCTAGCCTCTTAAAGTTGCTGTGTATGGTAGGTTTGGGCTTACCTATTCTCTAGATAAGAAGATTGATAATCTGAGAGAAGTGTGAGGTTTAAATTACAGAGTTAGTCGCAAATTGAGTCACAAGATCCATCTGACGTCAGCAATGATATATATGCCTTGTTCGACAGCTTTGTTTATATCTGGCTGGAGCCTTTGGTGGTCAATGTACTATTGCAGCTATTTTTTAATTATCTTTAGCAAAATTTATTTGCATGTGATATTAATCATATTGTCCAATGATTTCCACATTCCACAGGGTCACCTCTCTTTGGAATGGGCACAAATATGAATCTTTTCCAATCAGTTGGCCAGGTATCTGTCTCCCAAATTTCTTGGCAGAGATGAGCAAGCATTTCCAGTACTGCATCAATTTATTGAAAGATTTCCATTTGTATTCCATCATTTCCTGGAGTCTTGTTCTTTGCCAATGCCTTCAGTGTACCTTGAACTTCTTCCTTTAGTATCATTGGCTCTTGATCATATGCTACTTCTTGAAATGGCTGAACATCAACCATTTCTTTTAGTGACAGTGACTCTATGTATTCCTTCCAACTTCTTTTGATGCTTTCTGAAGCATTAAATATTTTATCCATAGAATCCTTCAATATTGAAAGTACAGGAATGAATTTTTTCTTCAATTCATTCAGTTTGAGAAATGCTGATCATGCTCTTCCATTTTGGGTTTCTAACTCCAAGCCTTTCACATTTCACTATAATACTTGATTTTGTCTGCCCTTTGAAATTTTCTGTTCAACTCTGTACCTCTTCATATCTTCCATTTGCTTTAGCAGCTCTTTGCTGGAGAGCAAGTTTCAGAGTCTCTTCAGACATCCATTTTGGTCTTTTCCTTCTTTCTTGCCGTCTAAGAGACTTTTTAGTTTCTTCCTGTATGATATTCTTGATGTCATCCTACAACTCTTCTGGTTTTTGGTCATTAGTGTCTCATGTTTACCTGTGCTTTATTGACTACTCAAAGGCTTTCAACTCTGTGGATTATGATAAGCTCTGGACAACACTGCAAAGAGTAGGAATTACAGAACACTTGATTGTGCTCATGAGGAATCTGTACAGACTCTAAGAGGCAAGTCATTCAAACAGAATAAGAGGACACTGTATGGTTTAAAATCAGCAAAGGCATACACTAAGGTTGTATTCTTTCATTATACTTGCTCAATCAGTATGCTGAGCAAATGATCCAAGATGGATTATATGAAGAAGAATGGGGAATGCAGATTGGAGGAAGGCTCATTAACAACCTGCAATTCTGCAGATGATACAACCTTGCAAGTCGAAAATGAAGAGAACTTAACTGATGAAGGTAAAAGACCACAGGTTTTCAGTACGAGTTGCATCTCAATGTAAAGAAAACAAAAATCCTCACCACTGAATCAATAAATAGCATCATGATAAATAAAGGAATGACGTTGTCAAAGACGTCATTTTGCTTGGATCTGGAAGCAGCAGTCAAGAAATCAAATGATAGATTGCATCAGGCAAATCTGGTACACAAAACCTCTTTAAAGGATTCAAGAGCAAAGATGTCAGTTTGAGGACTCATGTAGTGCGCTTGACCCAAGCCATGGTATTTTCAATAACCTCATGCGTGTGAAGGTTGGACAGCGAAAGAGAAAGACCGTAGAAGAATTGATGCGTTAGGATTATGGTGTTGGAAAAGACTATTAAAAGTACTAAAGACTGCCATAAGAACAAATCAATCTGTGTTGGGAGAAGTACAGCCAGACACTACTTAGAAGCCAGGATGGCAAAACTTCTCTCATGCTTCAGACATATTATCAGGAGGGACCAGTCCCTGGAGAAGTACATCACAAAGTCCTATTGTGCATGGGGTCGCTGAGAGGGAAACGACTTGATAGCACCTAAAAAGAACCAAGACTGTGTGTAGTTAACACTCAAGTGGTTCGTGTTACATCCAGTGAAGTTGCGCTGAGGGGGCCTGGGCCATACCGGGAGCCTGCTGGAGACAGTCTGGGAGGGATTGCGGTTCTGCGGTTTGGGGACACCTCTTGGAACTGGGCAGGATCACGTCCCCTAACACAGCTCAGCCGCGCATGCGCATGTGGCGGAAGGAGTCGGGGCGAAGCGGTGCGCTCTCGGCCTGGATCCCAGGCCCACCCCAGAGCGCGCGGCTGCGCACTGAGTTGCCGTCCCGCCAGTCCTCCCGGAAGCGCAGCGCCCTGCGCGCGCCACGTCAATCCCAGCACATCCTAGATCAGGGCTCCAGCCCTCCAGCTGGTCTGGGGAGCTGCACCCGAGCTCCCACGACTCGCAGTACCGGACAGGGCGTACCATGGGTCGCAGATCCCCGAGTCCTGCCCTTCGGGTGCTCCTGCTTCTGCTGCTTTACTGTGCGGAGCGATCGCGGGGAGCCGAACTCACCTTCGAGCTGCCGGATAGCGCCAAGCAGTGCTTCCACGAGGAGGTGGATCAGGGCGTGAAGCTCTCCCTGGACTATCAGGTGAGGTCCGGACGCCGGCAGCGCGCCTCCTTGATCCCCCTTCCGGATCTCACCCGGCCACTGGCGCGCCCCAGTCTAATTGAAGTGGCTGGAAGTAGCCAAGGCGGTGGAAAGGGTGGGGATCTCCGGAGACCTACTAGCTTCCCCGAGAGGAAGAACCTTTTGACCAGTCAGTACCCATCTGAGACCGACCGGGCCGATAGGGCAGGTGGTCAGGGCTGAAGGTGTACACCCCTGAGTGACTGGGGTGCCTCAGTGAGTCCGGCATCCGGGGGGTTGGCCACAATGACGCCTGCCAGGCTCCTTTCACTCCTAAAAGCGCGCCTTCTAACCAGCTGGACACAGACTCTCAGTCTGTTGTTAAGTACTGTCCAGTGGTTTTCAACTCATAGTAACCCTGTGTAGGGGTTCCAAGGAGTGGCTGGGAAGTTTGTGGCTCAGTGATTTATCCCATATGGGCACTTAAAAATGGTAACTCACAGTTTGTTTTCTTTTTATCCTCGCAAACATTTAGAGCTGGAGTTGGGTGAGCGCAGCAGTGGGAACGTTTCAGTATGGCCTCTGCGCCCTGGAAATGTTCACAGGTAGTGTGTTGTGCCTTGGGAACCTGACTGTTGTTATGTGTCTCAGAGACGCTCTCAGCTCCTGCATTCCGCTCTCAGCTCCTGCATTCCCGACTCAGACTCAGAGAGAGTTCATGACTCACAGTTGCAGGGAATATGTCTTGGGTGAGGAATTTGCCCCTAAGGTTTAGCCAGCAGATCTAGGGTTGGGGACTGAGTGGGCGCGTCATACCCAGATCCTGCCCCTTATTGGGAGGGATCAGCAGAAGATTCAGTGCCCACTTGCCCCAGGGTGGTGCTCACCAGATCCCACCTCCTTACCATCACCATCAGAAGGCCAGTCTGCTGTCTGAGAGCTGGTCAGTAATTGGCTGGCATTTTTCTGGCACTTGCTGAAATGTTAGGCACTGGACTAATCGTCACCACAAATATATGTCCAAACGAAAGCCAAATCCACTGCCATCCAGTGGATGTGGATCCACAGTGACCCTGTGGGACAGAGTGAAACTGCCCGGAGGGGTTTCCAAGCTTGTAATCATTACAGAAGCAAACTGCCACATCTTTCTCCTGAGGAGCACCTGGTGGGTTCGAACCACTGGTCTTGTGGTTTGCAGCATAGCTCTTAATCACTGTGCCCTAGGCTCGTTACAGCCCTGTGAGGGAGATACTATTATTGTCATCATTTTATAGATGAAGACCTCCTCATGGACTAAAGGAATTTGTCCAGAGTCTCAGAGCTAGTGAGTGGCAGTGCCCTCAAGAAGTGACTTGCTCCCTGTCTTGTGTTGAGTGTTATAAAGAAGCAAAGGCACCTAGTGGTCAATTTGCTTAACACTTTTCAGCTTTCCTTTCCTCCTCTGTAACAGCATCTGCCTTAGAAGGCCGTGAAGATTAAATGAACAAAGTTTCATTGTCATTTAGTGAGTGGCAGCCCATGGATAACAGCATGCTGGGTGTCTTTTATGGTTTTCAGGTCATTACTGGAGGTCACTATGATGTGGACTGTTATGTGGAAGACCCCCTGGGGAACATCATCTACAGGGAAACCAAGAAGCAGTATGACAGCTTCACACACCACACGGAGGTCAAGGGCGTGTATCAGTTCTGTTTCAGTAATGAGTTCTCTACCTTCTCTCACAAGACCGTCTATTTTGATTTCCAAGTGGGCGATGAGCTCCCCATCCTCCCAGACATGGGGAACAGGGTCACAGCTCTTACGCAGGTGAGTGGACACGACCATAACAGCTGTCAACAGGCCCAGCTGAGCCTGTGTTTCCTAGCCTGGTCTTCCTCTTCTGTCCCTGTCTCAGTAATGAGTAGAGTCATCATCCACCCAGCTCCCAGCCTGGAGAGCTCATGTTGGCCTTGCCTCTCTTCCTGTCCACTCCTAGAGGACACTGTTCGCCTGCTGGTCTTCTCTCCCATTCCTTAACTGGATCCCTGCAGTGCCTGCCTCGGGTATTCCTGTTTCTACTCCTTTGCACCCATTTCATCAACAACAGCACAATAACAGGCTTCTGGTGTGGCACTGTGGATCAGCACTGGACTGTGAACCATAAGGTTGGCAGTTCAAACCTACCAGCTACTCCTCAAAAACTCTGCACAGGGTCGCTATGTGTTGAAATCAACTCAACGGCACTTAATAACAGCAACAATACAATAGAATGTTATTTCTTGTACAAATAATCGTTTAGAGAAGGTTGGCTGGTAGCTTTCCTTCATGATTCAGGAACCCAAGCATGCTCTTCTGGTATTGCCATCCCTTAGGGCTTCGGAATTCTCTGCCTCTAGCCACCAAAGGAAGGAGGCCGTGGGAAAGCCCCACTGCCTATGGCAGCCCTGGCCCCCAACTAGTCCTCTTCATGTCTGCTCATACCCATTGTTGAGAACCCATCAGTTTGGATGAAAGAAAGGTTGGGAAATACAGTCGCGTGGTTGTAACCTCTTAGTTACAACTCTACACTATGGAAAGGCAACCATGAAATATTTGGAGGGCAATTTTTTCCACATGTGGCCCTCAAGGTTAATTATAATCTGATTCCAGCCCCCGTCATCAGCTTTCCCTCCTGCTATTTAAGCTCCTTTCCCCCTCCCTTTTTCCAGTTGTAAGCTTCCGGAGCGCTCATCTATTCTGACTCATTGCCACCTGATAGGACAGTGTAGAACTGCCCCATAGGGTTTCCGAAGCTGCAGTGTTTACAGGAGAAGCCTGCCATATCTTTCTCCCATGGACTGCATAGTCAGTTTGAACCACAAAGTCAGAGGTTCAAGCTCCCCAGACACTCCTTGGGAGCCCCATATTATGGATCTGAACCAACTTGATGGCACTAAACAACAACAACAACCCCCCCCTCCCAAAACCCCCACAACCATCAAGTCAATTCTGACTAACAGTGCCCCACAGGACAGAGGAGAAGTGCTCCTTTGAGTACTGAAACCCTTAAGTCTTTTTATGAGAACAATTTCAGCTGTCAACACTTAGCTTGCTGTACTGGGCTCCTTTCCCGAGGGCTTTGTTGTTGCTGTAGTACTGTTAAGTCAGTTCTGACTCATGGCAACCCTGTATAGGGTTTCCAAGGAGTGGCTAGTGGGTTTGAACTGCCGACCCTGTGGTCCAGTCCAGTGCTTATCCTACAGCGCCACACCAGGACCCCTTTCTGAGGGCTAGGACTATATTATTTACTTTAGTGTTTCTAGTGCCCGCCCAAGTGCAAGAGGCATGGCACGGAATATTTGTCAAATGACTGCGTGCCAGGGCCCAGGAGAACCTGCAAGACAGGAATGGCTACTCAGGGCTGCTGCACTGGTTCCAAAACCAAAGTCAGAGCGTCTCCGTGCCATGGCCAGTGAGCTCTGGTACCTCCCGGGTTACCCACTGAGGAAGGCTTCCTTCCCTCTGACTGGCACACGGATGAAGTCCTGTGAGTCCATTAGTCCAGTCTTCTCCCTTCTGAGTGTCACTCCGTGAAGCACTTGGACATCCGAGCTGTGTTGATCAGTAGCCATTTGTCATATGTTGTTGTCCTCTTGTGAGCTGCCATTGAGTTGGCTCCTGACTCATGGTGATTGACATGTTACAGTAGAACTGTGCTCCATGGGACTTTCTTGACTGTCATCCGTATGGAAAGAGCCTTGAAACCTAACAGTTAAGCCTGGCTCCTAACTGAAGGTTGGTGGTTCAGACCCACGTAGTGACTCTGTAGGAAAAAGACTTTGTGATCTGCTCCTATAAAGAATATTGTTGTCGTTGTTGTTAAGCGCCGTTGAGTCGGTTCCAACCCACAACAATCCTGTTACAGAGTTTCTGAAGAGCAGCTGGTGAGCTTGAACCACTGACCTTGTGGTCCAAACCGACTTTGCAGTCCAGTGCTGTACCCCACAGCGCCACACTACACACCAGGACTCCATAAAGAATGTAGCTTATAGGAAGCTCGAAGGGACAGTTGTGCTCTATCTGACAGGGCTTCTGTGAGTCCAAAATCAACTTGTCAACTAACAACCACCTTTGCAGAAGCAGTTCACCAGGTCTTTTGTCCTCAGAGCCACGGCCTCACTCAGACACCTTATTATCCATATATGTTGTTGTTGTTAAGTGCTGTCGAGTCGGTTCCGATCCATAGCAACCCTGTACATGGTTTCCGAGGGTGTAAATCTTCACGGGAGTAGAAAGCCTCATCTTTCTCCTGCAGAGCGGCTTGTAGTTTCGAACCGCTGATCTTAACATTCGTAGCCCGATTCGTAACCACTATGCTACCAGAGCTCCTTTAGCTGTTTAAATTTAAATAAATTAAAATTGAATAAAAATGTTACTTTGTCATTTGCACTAAGTGATATGGTAAGTAGTAGCCACAGATGGCCAGTGGCCATGTACTAAATAGAACTTTCCACTGGACAACACTGGTTTGAGTTTGACAATATGACTGCCATTAGAGATTCCGGCCCAGGATATGTATTGTGTGGGAGATCTTTCTCAACCGAGACTCTTGAGAGTTCTGTTGGCCACTGATGAAACAGCCTCCGTTTTGAAGATTTTATACATCTCCAACAGCTGACCCAAGGACTTCCCCTTTTAACCGGTGGAAAGCAGATATGGGAGGTTCGGACTTCAACACACCTTTCTGGGAGACACAGTTCTTTCCATAACAAGTTGTCTAGAAGTCTGTTTGGCACAGGAAGAGGGAGGGCCTTCCAACTGGAGAGAAGAGCAGAGCAAATAGAGTGTAGTTGTTTTCTCTCCTCATAAGCCCTTACTTTGTTTTTCTTGGCATGGAGCCCCATTTTAGCCAGCAGGTGTTTTCTCATTTGCCCACAGTCTTCATATAGCACCATGATGGAACAGAAGCCACATTTTCCGGCACCAAAGGAAATACTAGAGTCAAAAACCAAGACCCACAGTGACCGAGGACCAAGTCAGAGATTCAGGGACTTGTCTCAAGCTTGTGCTTGAAGTTAGGATAACCTCTCCTAGGAGAGGTCATGCATGGTCAAGGTCATGGCCAAGGAACATGTTATTTCAGAGAAGCCAAGTTTGAGGTGACCTGGGTTTCCTGGGGAGCCGAGTAGATCCTGGTGAAGACTGAAGCTTCTTGACAGAGGCCAGGGCTTGCCTCGGTGGTGGCCTAGTGAAGACCAGAGGTTTTCCTAACTCTGCTGGAAGTCCAGCTCCTGCTTCCCTGCAATAGCGTGCCTAAAGAATTTAAAGAATCAAATACTTGTGTCATTGGAGGTCCATGTGAGGTGTGGGCTAAAGGATTTTCTTAGTTATTGCAGACTGAAGGATTCCCCTAGTGGTGCTCAGTTAACACATTTGGCTGCTAACCAAAAGATTAGAGGTTTCAATCTACCCAGTGGCTCTTTGGAAGAAATGCCCAGCCATTGAAAACCCTCTGGGACGCAGTTGTCCTCTGAGACACACGAGGCCGCTATGAGTCAGAATGAACTCAGTGATAACTGGTTTATAGACCCAAGACCTGAATCTCAGCAGGTCATAGAGACCGGCTACTATGTCAGGGTAAGAAGAGAAGAAGGGAATGGTCTAGGGAAGGGACAGGTCAGTTTATTTCCAGAGACTGTTGTGATGGCCCAGAATCTCAGGAGGCTCCGGGATGCTGGAAACCAGTCAGGATTGGTGGTTTGACAGGGCAGCAGGCTACTGACCAGGAGAGCTGAGAACCCACACCTTTGAGAAGCGGGACTCTGAAGCAGAAGGTACTCTGCTGTTTTCCTGTTGGGCAGGAAGCAGGCGGAAGGGGTTACCTAACTGAAAGTTTGTGGTCACAGGCGGAGGGGCCTTCTTTTAGACTCAGAGAAGATCTTGGTGGGTGGAAAGTAGTTTTTCACGGTTTAAGAGGATGCTTTTGGGATGCGATGATTCTTAGTGGTGTGTTACTCTGGGTCTCTTGTGGGGCCTTTGAAGGTCTTAAAGGTGTCGAAGTTTCCACCCCAAGAAAGCTGTAGGCTACCCACTATTCCTCTGTCATTTCCTCAGAACAGACCCCTTCTGTCTCTGATTTAAGATTGCACCATGAAATGCATGAGGGTCCTCTTCATGGACCCTAGTGCCGAACTCTGGCCTGTGCTCTCCAGTCCTCCCTTGGCTGACGTGCCCTCTCGTGGGGGCTTTCTGCACGTGTGACTTGTGTGTCCTCCCTGCGTCTTTCTCCCTCCTCCCTCCCTCCCTTCCGTCCCTCTCTCCAGTGACTCTGGATGCTGGGAGAAGGCGAGAGATGCTGACCTGTGCTTGCTGCTGAATCCCCAGGCCAGGGTCCAGGGCCCAAGGAGCTCCTAGTTCAAGTGAGTCCTGTGTACACTTTGAGTTTCCGAGCTTGCGGCAGAAATCAATCTCAAAAAATGGGATTGTAGCCTCTCCTAGTGTTTAGGCCAAGTGTCCTTAAGTATATGCCTTTGTGTGTGTGTATGTGTGTATATGTATTTGTGTGTATATAAGTCCAGACCTACTACTGTGAAGTGAATTCCAACTCATAGTGACCCTGTGTAGTCTAGTGCTTCTCCTACAGCATTACTTGGGCTCCTTTTTTTGTGTATATGTGTATCTATATATGTAGTCCCTGGGTGGCACAAACAGTTTACACATGACTATTAACCTAAAGATTGGTGGTTGGAACCACCCAGTGGCACTGTGGAAGAAAGATCTGGCAATTTGCTTTCATAAAGATCACAGCCAAGAAAACCCAATGGAGCACTTCTACTGTGTGATATATGGAGTTGCCGTGAGTCCGAATTGGCTCAACAGAAATGGGTTTGTCTTATATATACATACACACACACACACACACACACATTTCTTGTGACATTTCACCACTTCTTCCCCATGGATCAGACTGTTATCTGAGAAGGTTGGATAACATGTACACGAGAAACCAAACCCACAGACCTGGCAGAGAGACCAGTTGCCAGTCTGACAGACGCCTCTGCCTGGTGGTCTTGGAGGCTAAAGGGAGATTGTTGTCCTTCTTCCTATCTGTTGAGTCTAGTTTAGCTCTTACAATGGCCCAGAATAAAGGACATACCCAGTGTGGCAAGGAAGGACATTTTATGGACATAATCTCCCACCTGACTTTTGTAAATGGTTCGGTGAGAGAATCAGGGGTTCTGGGGATTAGAGAGGGCACACAGTGGTTAGTTTCCTCTACATTTCTTATACTTTGTAAATAATTCTTTTTTTTTTGGGAATTGAAGCAAGTATCTATTGTTAGGCAATTCCAATTCATAACGACCATATATGACAAAATAAAACTTCCCCCATAGGGCTTTCTTGACATCTTTACGGAAACAGAGGACCTTGTCTTTCTCACCATGGCAAACCACCAACCTTTTGGTTTGGAGCCAAGTTTTTAACCACAAGGGTTTCTTATGATCCTTTCTAGCCTAAGAGCTCACTGGTGGTGTTAAACCTGTAGGGTTCAGATATACTGGTGTTTTAGAGGTTGCCTAGCACTGTAGGATAAGCAATGGGCTACTAGCCCTAAGGTAGTTCAAATCCACTAGCTGCTCCTCTGGAAAAAGCCGAGGCTGTCTGCTCCCGTAAAGGTTTACAGCCTTGAGAACCCTATACTGGACCATTATGAATTGGAATTAACTCAATGGCAGTGAGGTTTTGTGTTGTTTTATGAATAAGACACAATGGATTAGTTTTCATTTGCTGAGTATCAAGTGACCAAAATGTAATGCTTAAAAAATTAACCCATGTGTTATCTTAAAGTTTAGCAGGTTAGAAGTCTGGGCAGGTGGAACTGGGTTAAGTGACCAAGGCTGAGATCGAGGCTGGGCTGGGCTGGGATCTGGAGGCTGTTGGGGAGAATCTGCTCTCATGCTCACTCAGACTGTTGCCAGAATTCACTCACTTGCATTTGTAGAACTGAGGTGCTAAGTCCTGGGTCCCTCGAAGGCTGTCTGTTGGGGGTTGCTTTCTGCCCCTAAATGCCTTTCTCGTCCTTGAGCATAGCCCCTCATCTTCAAACCCAGCAGCCCTATTTTGCTTTCAGTGGTTGCTATGAGTCAGAATCAACCATACAGTAGTGGGCTTGGTTTGGGTTTGATTTTGAGTGGAAAATCTCTTTATCTGAAGGTCGGCTGTGCTTCATAACCTAATATAGCCTTCAGAGTGACAACAGTCATTCCTTTCAGGGGTCAGGGGATGAACTCTTGGAAGCTAGTGTTAGACGTCTGCCTGTTGTTGTTAAGTGCCATCAAGTTGGTTCCGACCCTAGTGACATTGTGTGGGGTTTCTGAGGAGCAGCTTCTTAAGTTTGAACCTCCAACCCTGCAGTTCAGACCAACCTTGAGTGCTTATCCTATGCAGGTACAGGAAATTGTGAAGTAGTGTGTGTTCCAGATGTGTGTATGAGGGGCGTCAAGCAATTCTCAGAAAAATGAAACTAAAAGATCATGGAATTTTTCCATGACTTTTTTGAAGTCCCCTCATATGTGTATATGTGTGTAAGATCATATGTATATATGTATGTATGTACCGGCGTCACAGTGGTTAAGTGCTGGGGTTGGTGGTTCGAACCCATCCAGTAGCTCCATGGGAGAAAGGCATAGTGTTCTTTTGCTGTAAAGACTGTTGTTATTGTTAAGTGCCATCAAATTGATTCCAACTCATAGAAACCCTCTGTAGAGTTTCCCAGGAGCGGCTGGTGGGTTTGAACTCGAGTTTCAAACTGACCTTGTGGAAATCCTACTGGGCAATTCTACTCTGTCTCCTTAGAGCTCTGTGAGTTGGAATTGACTCGAAGGCTCTTAACAACATTTCTGTTTTTGCATGTGTTTGTGTGTGCACGCATTTTGCTATGTGGAGAAATGTTTATCTTTGTGCGTTTGCATGTGCACATGTATATATATATACAATTGTATAATCGAGCAGTAAATTCAGAGTCCAATACAATTGTGATCTAATTCACACTCTACTACTTTTTAGTTCTGTGACCTTGGACAAGTGGCTTAGCTTCTTTGAACTTTAAATCCATCATTTCTATGTGTGTTAAGTCATCAGTGAGCCCCCACCACCACCACCAAGGGGGGTGATCATCTCTGCCTATCAGAGGATTATGAGGGTTCAGTGGGATGATCAGTTCTGCCTATGGGGATATTGTAAGGGTTCACTAACAGAACCTAGGACAGTGCTAGAAACCATAGACTCCCCTACACTAAGGCAAGTTGAGCTCAAATCCTGACTCTGCCATCTGCTAACTCTATGACCCTAGGCAAAGTTACTTAGCCTCTCTGAGCCTCTACTGACCTAAAGATTCATTTCTTTATCTGGTAAAAATGAATTATAATTTTACTAGGCTTATAATAGGAACCCTGGAGTTCTGCTGTGGATAAGCACTTGACTACTAACTGCAAGGTCAGTGGTTCAAACCCACCAGTTGTTCCTTAGAAACACTATGCAGGGTGTCTGTGAGTCAGAACTGACTGAGCAGCACTTAAAACAACAACAACATAATAGGATCCTTGGTATGGCTGCTAGCTGAATGGTTATAGGGTTGAATCCATTTCCTGCCCTATGGGAGACAGAGATGGCAGTTTGCTTCTGTAAAGATTACAGCCTTGGAAACCCCAAGGGACAGTGTGCTCTGTTGTATATTGTCACTGTGAGTTCCATTGATTAGAAGGCAACAGTTGGCTTCTGATCTGAGGATTAAATATAAGCACATAAAACCCTTTGCACAGACCTGTGGCCAACATTCAGGAAGTGCCACCTACAATAATGACGACATGCGCTGTAAGCTTGGTTCCACTCTCCATTGTGCAGTTAGAAATGAGACTCATTTTCTCTTCCTGCCTAGATGGAGGCCGCCTGTGTGACCATCCACGAGGCTCTGAAGACTGTGATTGACTCCCAGACGCATTACCGGCTCCGGGAGGCCCAGGACCGGGCTCGGGCTGAAGACCTGAACAGCCAAGTCTCCTACTGGTCTGTCGGCGAGACCATCGCCCTGTTCGTGGTCAGCCTCAGCCAGGTGCTGCTACTGAAAAGCTTCTTCACAGAAAAACGACCTCTGAGCAAGAGGGGCCACTCCTAGCCTAGGCGTCCTGCTCGAGGGTCCCTCGCAAGCTACCCCAAGGTGGGGCAGCTCTCCTTGGTCACAGGTGCCTGCTTGGCCAGTGGTTGTGATTCAGAGTGAAGGGGAGTCCAGAGAGGTGCCCTGGAGTGTCACCTCGGCTTCTATTCAGACGCTTCATCCTTGCACCTCCCGCAGCTGAAGCTCACAAGGGACCCTTTAGTGAGAAGGCTGCAGGCTGCACTGGCGTGTGCTATACAGACTGAGAAGACATTTACAGGCAAGCTAGCAGTTGGCCACCATGGAAGGACAGGCAGGAAGCTATTTGGTGGCCTGACCAGTAAGAGGCACCCTCACCATGTCCTCCGGGTCAGCTCCCGGCTTAGCTCTACTCTGTAATACAGTGGACTGCCCGCAGGTCATTAGGTCGTTTGGCTTGTGTGTCCCACCCTGTGTGAAGAGGAAGGGGACCCTCATTGCTGGCCTTTCCTCCCATGAAGTGCTCTGTCCTTGAAAAAAATCAAGTCCTGAAGCGGCTTCGTAGCTGCTTCTGGACCCAGGTGAGCAAGCTGGAAATTCATGGTGACTGGTGCCCACAGTAAATGTGTCTCTCCTAGGAGGGGGCCTCTGTTTAATAAAACAAAGTGTGGATGCCTTGAAGACTTGTGCCTTTATGTTTTTGCCCTGAAGTTATTTACAACTTGATGGAAAGCATGAGGTTGGGTGTAATAGATGATTATGTGTCGTGGAGTCGGTTCCAACTCATAGCGACCCTGCACAGGGTTTCCGAGGCTGTAAATCTTTACAGGAACAGAAAGCCTCATCTTTCTCCCGCGGAACAGTTGGAAGTTTCGAACTGCTGACCTTGAGGTTTGCAGCCCGATTTGTAACCACTACGCTACCAGCGCTCTTTAATAGATAGATGTCTTAGGCATGTGTAAAGGAGCTCTGGTAGTGTAGTGGTTATGAGTCTGGCTGCTAATTTCAAGGTCAGCAGTTTGAAACTACCAGCTGTTCCACGGGAGAAAGATGAGGCTTTCTGCTCCAACAGCCTCGGAAACCCTGTGCAGGGTCGCTATGAGTTGGAACTGACTCCGCAGCACACCACCACCACCTCCCCCAGGCATGTGTATGGGATGCTGGAATGTTTAGAACCAAAAAAAACACTAAGCAAAACCCCAACCCATTGCTGTTGAGTCTGTTCTGAGTCAGAGTGACCCTGTTTGGCAGAGCACAGCTCCCAATATGGCTTCCACAACCGTGATCTTTTCAGAAGCACTGGACCGCAAGGTTTGTTGGAACCACACAAGGTCGGTGGTTCAAATTCACCAGCCGCTCCTCTGGAATCCTTGTATAGGGTCACAATGAGTTGGAACTGACTGACGGCACTTACCAACAACAAATGGAGTCCTGGTGTAGAGCTGTAGTTATGATAAGCACTGGACTGTTAACTGCAAGGTTCGCTATTCAAACCCACCAGATGCTCTTTGAAAACCCTATACTGAGTCGATGTGACTCGAGGGCACTTAACAACAACAACAACAGTGCCTGGTGCCAGCTCTAGGGAATGGCTGTCTCTGTGTGTAGGATCTGGAGGAAGGTCTCTGTATCTCTGAGCCTTTGTTCCGGGGTGATTATCAAGTGACTAGACTACCCCCATTCTGGCTTGCTAGCTTGCTTTTAATCTCTTTTATATCTCAAAAGAGATTCATTCAGAAAACACACAAACTAATCCTATCTCATAAACGTAACAACGAGAACCCCTTTCCAAATGAGATTTGGTGGGGAAGGATACAGTTAAATGCGTAAGACTCCCCTTGACATCTGGGGACACGGTTGGAAGGGGTGTTCATGTTGGCACCTGAGTGTCAAGAGTACTGGATTGGGTCAGTACCTTCTGGATTTGAATGCTGGATCTGCCACGTAGTATTTCATCCTGAGCAAGGTTCTGAACTTCTCTGAAGCTTTGTTTCCTCATCTGTCAAATAGGCACGTTGTTGTTAAGTGCTGTTGAGTCAGTTCCGACTCATAGCAACCCAGAATAGTGTCTGAGGAGCGGCTGGTGGGTTTGAACTGCTGACCTTATGGCTCGCCATCCAGTCCTGATCTCACAGCACCACACCAGGAGTTCAAATCAAATGACCATTAGAGAATACTTTGCCTAGATACAAACTTTGGACTTTCGGATTGCTGCTAATTGTTACACCCCCACCCCACCCCTTACCCCCCAGTCCAGTGTAAACTATTTGCATTTGAAGCCTGGCTGTTAGCAGCTGGAGTCTGGGAACACACCTACTAATTTGTACAGAATGTTGACAACCCCCCAAGGAATAGGAAGATAGGAACTCTGGCCCTTAACTGAAGTTCTGAGCTATTAATTAAAATAACATGCTTGAATGAGTATGTCTTACTAAACTTAGACTGGCTTTTAAGAAAGAGTGGGCTTCTGGGAGGAAATTCTCCTTAAAATAACAATGATTTTGGACAGGTAAGCTAGGCTTGACTTTGAAGACCAAGGATTGGTTGGTGTTCAATGCTGTCGAGTTGGTTCTGACCCGCAGCTGGTGAATTTGAACTGCCAACCTTTCAGTTGAGTGTTTATCCTACAGCACCACACCAATTCCAGGCAGAGCAAAGAGGTGACTGAGCTCACTGATTGGCTGTTGCAGTAAAATATCGGGTGTAGTTGTTGCTAAGTGCCGTTGAGCCGGTTCTGACCCAGAGTGACCCTGTGTAGGGTTTCCAAGGAGTGGCTGATGAGCTTGAACCGCCAACCTTGCAGCTCAAATCGGCTTTGCTATCCAGCACATTAACCCACAGCACCACACCAAATATTGGTTGTTGTTAAGTGCCATCAAGTCAATTCTGACCCATAGAGACCCTGTATAGGGTTTCCAAGGAGCAGCTGGTGAGCTTGAACCACTGACATTGCAGTTCAAACGACTTTGCAGTCTGACGCATTAGCCCAGAGCGCCACACCAGGACTCTTGGTGTTGGTAGCTATGTCTATGTAAGCAATTTAGTATTTTTGGGCCCACGCAACATTGTCCCCCAAAAGAGGGAGTGTTTGCTTTGTTAAAAAATGATTTTCAAAAAAAAAAAGCAACAGCTTGACACTCACACAAATAGAAAATGAACAGGTGCTAAAGATTTTATTGTACTCATTCATCAGTGGAGATGTGCTATCTAAATGAGTATTTGAAAAAAACAAAAAACCAAGCGTATTTATATGTCATTGGGTACCATAATGCCAGTTCTTACTCATGTTGTTAAGTGCTATTGAGTTGATTCCTACCCATTAGCAACCCATACCCTGTATAGGGTTTCCAAGAAGCAGCTGGTGAGCTTGAACCACCAACCTTGCAGTTCAATGACTGTGCAATCCACATTAGCCCATGGGTACCACACCAGGACTCCATAAACTCTATAAATTATAGTTTCCAAGGCTGTAAATCTTTATAATGCTTTCAAACAGTTAACCCTCCATGCCACCAGGGTTCCATTATATAGACTTGTAAAATAGCTCAAAGACTGGAGTCATGACCTGGGGGAGTGTCCATTAGACAATGCATAGAAATCTAACTGCCTTCCAATTGGCTCAGACTCATGGCGACTCTCTGTGTCACAGTAGAACTGGGCCCGACAGGCTTTTCAGTGACTGCTTGTTTTGAAAGCAGATTCCCAGCCTTTCTTCTAAGGTGTCTCTGGGTGAACTCAACCCTCCAACTACTTGGTTAGCAGCTCAGTGTGCTAACCACTTGTACCACCCATGATTTTTGTTAAAACACATTTTTTCCCCCTTACAACTTCAAAAGGGGCTGCTGAACCAACTGGGCATTGTCTGATTTCCACTTGCTCTCTCTTAATTTTTTATTGTGAAGTGAGTGATTACATGGGAGAACATTGGTTTTACACTCACTGTTGCATTGCAATGATTACAATGTCTTCTGTTCATCATCATTCAACAGTATTTGCTTCCATTCCCTTTGTTATTGTTTGTTTTTTTCTTTTTGGCAGGGGAGTGGGGAGGATGTACACAAAAACACTACAGAATATAATCCTTTAAACAACCAAAGGGCACATTCTGCAAGCCTGCCTCCTATCCACCAGCACACAGCCTTTCTCTTTCCATGAGTCCAGAGTCCTCAGCTGCTCTCCCTCTCCATGTCCTCATCTCTGCCTCCATCTCTGGTGTCACAGTTTCTCTGGATAGTGTGTGATTTCCACTTTTGATAACAGTAAGATAGTATCAGATTACCCAGTAGGCAAGGTAAGCACAGGCTCACTTGTATTTTCTTACTGATCTGTAGTGAACTTTTTATTTTACCACATCAAAGATTTGGCATCGAGGTCTGGCTGGCCTCTCTCTCTCCCAACTCCACAATACCTTCCTACAGAATGAAAGCCTTTTTTCAAATTTATAGTCCTGACAGGGATAGAGTATCCAGTAAACTAAACAAGGTAAGCACATGCTTACTTATCAACCTTAGTGAGAAACATGTAAAACTGTTTACTACAGATCAATAAGTACGCACAAGTAAGTTCCTGACTACCTTGTTTATTGGCTATTTCAGTTATCCCATCCTCGCTGGTTCTATGTCAGGTCATCTCCTGGCTCCCAGGCCCCTCCATCCTGGGTTGGGAAGTTTTCAGCTATTGCAAATTTTAGGACTCTGCCATCCCTTGCTGCTTTCTTCAGTCCTGCCCAGCCTTTGTAAAGTACTTTGAACCACAAGGTCAGCGATTCAAACTCACCAGTTACTCCTTGGAAACCCTATACAGGGTGATTATGAATCAGAACAAAGTTAACGGCACTTACCAACCAACAACAGAGTTAAAAGATGGAAGAGAGGAGGGAGGAAGGAAAGAAGAAAGTTGCTCCAGATTCTAGGAAACAAGAAGGATTAGAACAATGCTGTACATACACACTGAAGGTAGTAAGGGGAGCTCTGGAAGAAGCCTGAATTTTTTCCTTCTAACTGTACAAGTGGGGACTGGAGTGCTCAGGCCCTTGAATTTCTTCCATTC